AATTCAGAAAATTCAGAAAATTCAGAAAATTCAGAAAATTCAGAAAATTCAGAAATCTAAAAGAATTCTGATAATTCAGAAAATTAAACAAAATTCAGATAATTCAGAAAATTCCAACCATTCAAAAAATTCAGATAAATCAGGTAATTCAGAAAATTCAGAAAATTCAGAAAATTACGGGGGGTTTAGGGCGGAGAGCAGCCGGGGGGGGGGGGGGCTTTACCCCGTAAACTAAAGGCTCTGGACACTCATTTAAACGGCGGTTTGCTCAAACTTCTGATTAACCCCGTAGTCTCTACCAGGAAATGCCCATTTCTGCCCAGATATTTCAGAAAATGTAAACAATTGTTATAATAAAAAAATAAAATAAAATCAGATAATTAAAAAAATGTTTTATTTTAAAAATGTTAAAAATGTTTAAAAAAATTATAATTTTAAAAATTTAAAGAATTTAAATAATTTTAAAACGTTTTAAAACTAATAATAATTCAAATAAATCAGAAAGTTTAAATATTTTTTTTTTTATTAAAACATCAGATAATTCAGATAATTCGGAAAATTTTAAAAATCTAAAAAAATCTAACAATTTAAAAAATTTAAAATCTTTTAAAAATCAGATAATTCAGATAATTCAGATAATTCAGATAATTCAGATAATTCAGATAATTCAGATAATTCAGATAAATCTGAAAATTCTGAAAATTCCAATAATTAAAAAAATTTAGATAATTCAGAAAATGTAAAAAAAAAAAAAGTAAAAAATTCAGAAAATTCAGTAAATGTAAAAAATTCAGAAAATTTAAAAATTTCAGATAATGGCGCTTCAGAGTCCTGACATGCACGCGAAAACTTCAGTTTTCCGTTTTGCATTTTGTGATGCGAGAGAAAAGAAAGAGGCTGCAAAAAGTCTTATTCTGCGATACGTTTGCGGTTTGGGTTGTTTGAAATGAGCCTGAATTTATTTCTGCCGGGCGAAAACACACACACACATTTCAGGCGTAGTTCTTTTCCCGCCATTTTCCCAGAGATGCAGATCAACAAAAAACATTTTATAGAAAAGTTCCGACACCTTTTTTTATGAAGGATTCACTAACTGATGCAATAATTGCACTTTGAATTGTGTTGTGCACAAAATGTACTATACTATATAATATACTACACTAATAAATATACTATATAATACACTACACTAATAAGTAGACTATATATTATACTACACTAATAAGTATACTATATTTTATACTATACTAATAAATTAGCCTGTCCTAGTAGCCTCTTACTTTTCGGTGGGTTTAATTTTTCATAATTTCTTATCAGGTTAATAAAAACATTTTCCGATAACTGACGCAAAAAGAAAAATGTTTTTACATTAAATAAAAAATAAATACAGTTAAATGTATAAAGTAAGTTTCTTCTTATCTGTGATCATTTCAGTAAATAATTCTGTAATAAATCATAACCAGAATGCATAATGACAATAAAGGCTTTCATAACCAGAAGATTATACATAAAAAAAAAAAAATCTTATGAATGTGCTTAATCGATCAGAAATATCAGAAAGCAGAGTTAGTTTAGTTCCTTTAATAGATAGATTTCACCTAAATGTTCCTTTTTTGGTCATCTTTTCATGTTCCAGCTGTTTTTAATCACCTAATCTGATAAAAATGTGAGAAAAAAAACAACTAAAACTAAAGACTCAGTAAATAATAAAGACTTAATAGATAAAAGTGAACCTATTAGAGAAACTCACCCTGTGAGCTGAGCGGCTGCAGGGACCCCAGGAGGCCGATGAGCAGCAGAAGCATCTTCAGATTCAGATTCAGATTCAGATTCAGATTCAGATTCAGAGTGAGACCACCAACATCTGCACGCCTTTATATCCAGATGTTCAGTCACCGCCTCCAGCCCACAGAGAACCGCTCCACGGGAGGGAATTAAACACGAAAAAAGCATGAAAATGTGAAGGGAAAATGATTAAAAGTCGACTTTATTCCTCTAATAATTTTTCAACATCAATACATAATTATGGATGTTTGACTTCACAACGTCAAACTGTTTTTAAAAAAAAGTAAAACCAGATTTTATTAATTTATTAACCAAATTTCCAAAAAACAAAGTATAATAACGTGTGAAAAAGAGATGATTTTAGGTTTTCATGTTTGTTTTACATTTTGTCATGAGTTAAAAATCCTAATTACATTAAATGTTTAACTTATTTTCTATTATCAAATTGCCTGATTTTTACCAAAACTGGCCAAAAGATGAGAATATTCCTGGAAAATTATTTAATGTACATTTTTCTGCTTTGCAACAATTTCTTTGCAAATGGAAATCTGGATGTTCTAAAAGAAAAACTAACAACTAAACCGGTTTCATTTAAGTCTTAAAAAAAGAATAAAGTCAATAACCTTTTATTAAAAAAATGTAAAAGTCAATCGTCGATAATTTGACAGCTATATAGAAATAAACGAACGATCTATCTTTGACATTTATCTGAATCTTTGCTTTTAATCTTAAAAACCCGACGGCTTCTGAAAATAAAAGCGGCTCTTCCACCTGATGCCGAAAAGATTTAAAACATTTGCACATTTCTGTCATCTTTTCACACTTTTTCCAGTAATCTCAACCGATTTGTGTCCTTTAAAGACTCATTTCTTTGTATTTTAGCAGCCAAATGTCATCTGGCATCAGAGAAATGTCACAGCATCCATACTAACTTCAGTTATAGCTTTGGTTTAAACAGACCTGATCACAGATAAGAATTCATCTAAGACATTTAGCCGAAGTATTGAAACGAAAAGGATCAAGTTTATCCATTTCTGTCTGAAATTAGAATCGTTTTTTGGTTCCGGAAGCTTTTTAAGCGACTCAAACTGCGACAACTTATCGTGTGGCCGCCTTTTTTTTTATTTTACTCAAGTCTTTTTGCTTCTGATTTAATCTGTTGGAACAGGAAAATGTTTCTTTATCTCCTCTTAAGTCCTCCCTTAAAACTTCCTGTAAATTATTTCACTGTATTTCATCGATAACTGCGTTTCAGTTTAGCTTAGTATATTAAAATATTTTAGTATATTAGAATATTTTTGTATATTAAAATATTTAGTATATTAGAATATTTTAGTATATTAAAATATTTAGTATATTAGAATATTTTTGTATATTAGAATATTTTAGTATATTAGAATATTTTAGTATATTAAAATATTTTAGTATATTAAAATATTTTAGTACATAAGAATATTTCCCTGCAGCTTTTATAATATCTGCATATTTCCTGTTTCAGGACTTTAAATGCAGCTTTTTTAAAATATTTTTTTAGCATATTTTTGGATTGCGTTTGTAATGATTAAACCGGAAGAAAGGCCTCGGCCCAAAGGACAGGTGATGC